TTGTATTATTGTAACAATGTACTTGAACAAATTGACAACACCCCGTAGTCTTGGTGACTGAGATGATGCAGAGATGTCTGTGAGTTGAGAATATTTAAAGACTCTTTTACCTGCCCAACAGAATTGCTGCAAACACAAATCATTTCCCCAAATATGGTTCCTTATGAGGCTTGCTACAATTTCATGGAGATTCTTGGTCATCCAGGTGATGGTTGTCCCAAAGATGCTTTTTCAAAAGACAACTGGACTTTGTTTTTTCTGCATCTTTGGGACCAGCTACACGCCATGTTTCAAACATGCATGCCTATGCAGGGGTATTCGTCTATGTATTTAAGTCTTGAAATATATTTTGTTTGAAGATTCTGTCTCCCTTTTTAGGGCCTAATATAGGGCATGGGTCTCAAACTTGCTGCATCATGTTGCCGTCACATGACGTTTCACGGTTCTTCTCATTTGCGGAATTGGGTTGGGCGTGGCCTCCGCGTGATGCACCTGGCCTATCAGCCACCAGTGTGACACCCCTGATACAGGGGCTACATCCTTGCAGCTGATAGCAATAAATAGAACAGATTACAATACAAGCAATCCGGTCCTTGATTTATGATTTTAACTAAGCTTGGAATGAAGGTCATAATGTGGTAGTTCTTCAGAAGGTTACCATGTGACCCCATCCATTTTATGACCTTTTTTTGTGGTCGCCATTAAGTGAACATCATGGTTATCAAACAGGTACCACAGCTGTTAAATGAATCCATTATAGCCAATTTGCTGGAAACCAAAAATAAATGCAGAAAACCAGCAAAAAAAAAAAAACAACCACTTGAAATTGTGGTTATGTCTCTGCATATGGATGGGATCTGCATACAGCTATAAATACAAGCCAGTTGCCAAGCATCCAAAATGCAATCTCTTGAGGACAGGAGTGAGGATGGGGTAAAGGTTGTATAGCCTTTGGAACTTCAAAATCGGGTAATAAGTACAGAATTTTGGTTGCTAGGGGACCAGCCATTAAGCAAGGACTACCTGTAGAGAACATAAATTATTAGAAATTTATAGAATAAAAGTGCCATTGGTTTCTCTCTCCATTAAAGCCCATAATGGTAAGGACCAGAGTGTGAGCAGTTGCATTATTGTATAATGGCAGGTGGAGTCAAAAGAGAAATCAGCCTACATTAAAGTCAGTATGTAGCTACCAATGGACTAAGTCCAATCCCTCTTGCATTCCATTAACCATGATCTAGTGCTAATACACTGCTGACCATTAGTTGACTAGCTTTTTGTGCATAGGTATGAGCAATAAATCAATTTAATTAGGGCTTGAGGGGTCCTTGGTGCTCCCTGAGCTTGGTTGTTGTTGTTTTTTGCAGATATTTTATTACCCAAACTAGGTGACATCGTCAGTGCTAATTGGAACCTGACACGTGGCCTTGGTCTTTCACGCCTGACAATTCTCTTTTCTCACTATTACACTTAGGCGGCCTTTCCAACCTACATCTTTCAGCAAGTGGTGCTGTTAGTTGGCATGAGGGAAAGAACATCAGAGCCAAAAGAAAACCATCCTATCTGGGAACTCTAGTAGTGAAGCTCAGCTGAATCTGGAGACCCAGGTTGGGGAATGCTGTGCACAGGAGTCAAGGAACAGATGCCCTTTTATTTTTTAAAGAGAGAAAAATGAACCGACCAACCCCGTTTTCTGAACCAGAGAACCTCTAAGCCAGCCATTTGCTCCTTTTCAAGATCCCAGACACCTCTCCAAGCAATTAGCAAGTTACTCAGCAGGGTAAAGAAAATGCCCCACAACGTGAGATGCAGCATATGCATTAATAAGATGTAAATGTATTCAGAGTGAAAATAGTGTTGGCAAAGGATAGCAAGGGGGAGAAGGCAGATCCCTTGCCATTTTGCAATGCTAGATCAACCTTGTCTCCCTCCTTCTACCTTGTTTGCTTTGATGAAAGAATCAGGGTGGGGAGAACAAAGCTATGACAGACATCTGTCCATATTTGCAGCTTGCCCAGGATGATTGTAAGGATGTATTCATACAATGCACTGACCCTCCACTGGTTCAACTGGGTAAGTATACTCAACATGATAAACCTTCTCCAACTTGAGTGTCTTCCAGATAGTAGGAATACTCAGAATTCTTGGCCTTATAACCATGCTAAAATAACATCTGGAGAAAGCTACAGTAAACTATAAACCATTATTTACTAGATACAGGGGTTTCACTCAAACAATTTCTGGTGTTTGCAATGGTTACAATGAAGTTAATGCTTCAAACTGCTTAGACCTGTGTTTCTCAACCGTGGCAACTTTAAGATACAGCCTTAGTAAGGCAATACCTAGTGTACTGCATCCAGTTTTGGTCACCACAGTATAAAAAAAGATGTTGAGACTCTAGAAAAAATGCAGAGAAGAGCAATCAAGATGATTTAGGGATTGGAGCCTAAAACCTACAATGAATGGTTGTAGGAACTTGGCATGGCTAGTCTAGTGAAGATAAGGACTAAGGGAGACATGATAGCAGTGTTCCAATATTTGAGGGGTTGCCAGAGAGGAGGAGGTCGAGCTATTTTCCAAATCTATTTTCCAAGGAATAATGGATGGAAACTGAACAAGGAGAGATTCAACCTGGAAATAAGAAATTTTCTGACAGTGTGAACAATCAACCAACCAACGGAAAAGCTTGCTTTCAGAAGTTGTGGGCACTTCATCCCTGGAAGTTTTCAAGAAGAGACTGGACTGCCATCTGTCAGAAATAGTATAGGATCTGCTTGGGCAGGGGGTTGGACTAGATGACCTACCAGATCCCTTCCAATTTTGTTAATTTGTGTCTTTAAAAAGATGTGTGGACTAAAACTCCCAGAATTCCCTAGCCAGCATGGGAGTTGAAGTCCACACATCTTAACATTGCTAAGGTTGAGAAACACTGGTTCAGACAATGCTTAAACAGAACTGAGCCTTATTGGAATCTAGCAAGCTTCTTCTGTTAGATCCAATTATTTATCAGTGTAGTCCAGGATTGTTTTGACAAGATCAGATTTGCATCCAGTCTAGTTTTAGCAAAGGTTTTCCAAGAGAAATCTTTTCTAACCTCTCTTTCCCAATCTCTGTCCACACCAATGATTAAACATGGACCTTTTTCCTAGGAAGATCTATTGTACAAGACATCTATGCTCTTGGGTCTAATGTGTAGATATATATTCACTTGATTCCACTGTATTTATTATATGGTTAGGAGAAAATATAGACATTGTCTTACTCCAGGGACGGTCACATTTATGTCTCAGTTATCAAATGACAAATTATCATCCGGGGAAGAATTATTTCCCATTTAAACACATTTATATCTTGGAACTCCTTTTGAAGACTAGAGACTAGAGGAAAAGGTACTTATGATTTATCCATCTATCAACCAATCCCAGGACAGGCAGTTGGAAAATTTCTGAATGTTTTGGAGTTCAGTTTCCATCAGATCTACCAATGATAATAGTTTATAGGAGATATTGTTCAAAACATTTGAAAGTAATGCTAGGTTGCTTCCCTATCGCATTTTGTGAATAAAAATTAGGATTAGCCTTAATTCTCCAGTCCTCTGTATTCCCAATATCTCCATTCAACTGGAGCCAAGTCTGCCTGAAATGATCCTGAACCATACTAGTATTTTGAAAACTCTAATCTAGGCTTTCCACATAGATGTTGCTATGCAGGGATTCAACATTGAAATATTTACACTTAAATATAATATCCCCCCCAGAGGTGAGGGAGGCCCCAGTCTTCTGATTTTCAAAAGAGCTTGAAGCCCTGGCTCTGCCAACTCAAATGGAGCATTCAGAGGAGCACGCTTGGGGGTTGGTTAGTGCCCTGGAGACTGTCTCCTTGCCATTTTAATTTTAATTATTCTCTTGTTTTAACTACCTCCTTTTACTGAAATATATATTTTATATGGCTTTATATTTTTAATTGTACACTGATGAGTTACTGAGATAGCAGTAGCACTTACACTTGTATACCACCTCATAGTTCTTTATAGCATTCTCTGAGCAGCTTAAAAATGACAGCATATTGTCCCCAACAATCTGGGTCTTCACTTTACTGATCTTGGAAGGATGGAAGGATGAGTCAATCTCAAGTCCCATCAGAATCGAACTCCAGTTAACCTGCAATACTGCATTTTAATCACTGCACCACCAATCCAGTTAATAAAATAGAGAGCCATTGCAATGAGAAAACCCTTTACAGAGTTAAATCAACTGGGCTGGCTCTTCTTGCTAGTAAAAAAAAAAGTGGCTAAGGTCCCCATCTGACTCCCAGCCAAAACCATTGAGAGGAAAAGCAACCTGTAGTAAAAATTTAAATCTATCCCATCTCTCTCCAGCTCCCATGAGCAACAGGGGATGTAAGAGAAAACAGGCTGTTTTAAGGAAAATGAGAGACAGACGGTGTGAAGGGGAGCAGGCGGGGGTGGCAGTGATGGACATGTGCTGATGGAACAAGCTGTACCGAAAGTGGGGAAGAGCATGGATAAAGATGGGAACAGATTTGTATGTCTCAAAGTTGGAAAGAGATGGTAAGTGTAAATGAAGAGAAAGTGAGATGGAAACTCCTAATATTCTCTATTAATACGCAAAAAAAATACATATCAAAGGCCAAGGATTCAGGTCCCAGCACATTCAGTTAAGAAGATGCAAGCAACAACAGCAGGGATGAATAAAATGGCCCATCTTGTTTCAGCTCAAAATTGATTTCCTACGTATTGGGCGAGGGATACAGAAAACTGACACAAACATCACTATAATTTTCATGTTCGTCTCTATACATGTGCAGTGTATGTATTTTTATTCCTGTAGATCATTTTACCTAATAACATATTTTTAAAATGTTCCTAATATCATGCACTCACATATTATGAAATATGTGGAGTTTTGTATGCATTTCCCTAATATCCTGTATGCAGGAGAAGCCATATCATTTGGAAAAAAAAATCCTGAAAAGTAAAAGCATTTTAGCATATTTATTGGTACAGAAATGCCAAATGATGCTAGTTTACATTAATCTACAAAAACAAATTCCTCCTTCATTCCTATAAATCAGCACTGGTCACCATGAAATACTGTTTAAGCAAAATGCTAGAACATATTCAGATGTATAGTCAGAGAAAAGAATTTAAGTCTTCAATGTATGGTTGAAACCTAATTCTGAGAGAGGATTTGGTGGGTTTGCTATTGTTAGAAATCTAAAGAATTAGGGCCATCTGAGAAGTTTATCTGTAGGTTGTTTTTTGGTTTAGAAAGATATTAGACAATCCATGCCTCATTGGGTCATCATTTCAGAAGTATTTCTTCACCTAAACAGAGACATAGAAGGACCAAGGGTGGGCAAAAAAGCAATTGCAGAGATGTGACTTCTGACTTCCTGGTCAGCTTCGCCATTGAGTTTTCTTATGGAAATTTGGCTTAGCAGCATTGGAAATCATCCTCCCTCCTCCCAAGTGGCTGCTGCTGGATGGGGGAAGGAACAAGGGATTGCAAGACTGGCTAGGAAACTGTCACAGAATTGAAAATGAAGATCACATGACTGCATCAGAAACTCAGCAGTGCTGCAGCATCCAGTAGAACTGAAGCATCTGCTCTTCCCCAAATTTCATTCTCTCGAAAGTCATGGATCCCATAGTTTGATGGCATTCTTTAAATTAGCCCATATGAAGAACCTTGGTCCAAAAATTACTGTATTGCCCTACCAGTATTGCATTATTTCACACAGTTAGTCAGGATGAGTTTTAATAGCATATGGATTCTAATGTAGCTCAGCCCTCTGCACATATCAATTTATTCTTTAAGACAAGCTTTCATAGCCTAGAAGCCTCCAATTTTTCAAAAACAGGTAACAAAGATGCCATCCTTCTCAGCAGGTTGGGAAATCCATCTTCTTTCTTCCTTCTCTTTCCCCCCAAAGCCAGAAGAGTGCAATGCAGAAATCAGTCACAAAAATTTGCATGAAATGTCAGTGGGAAGTCATAAAAATCAAGATGGCACCTATGATAAAAGAATCTATATCTCTTCTTGATTTTTTTGGCCCCACCCACAGACATTCCTATGCATTGCTTCAAAGATTTCAATTGCATTGAAATCTGCAATTTATTTATTTTTATTCTGCCTTTAATTAGGGGAGGGATTTTGAAGACAAGATTTCAATACTAAATCAAGGCCTATATATAGTTCATGGTTATCACATGTTCAAAATAAATCAAAGTTTAACGAATTCCTATTGTTAAAAGTTCAGTTTAACACACCACAGCTCTATCGACTTTCAGATTTTGTTGAAAACCAGGACTACAATCTTTTTTCTTCTTTTGGTCAAGGTGCCAGAAAAGTGCTACATTGCAAAAAGGCTTCAATCATGCAGATTTCACAACTGGCTCAGAGAATATTGCAACCGTGAAGTGTGGCAAAGTATTTTGGCAGCAACATATAAAGTCAATTCTGAAAATATCACATCTGTGAAGAAGATATTCACACGGGGGTGGAGGAGAAAACACACACCCTCATTCTTGCAAGGACAAGGGACAGTGGCAGCTAAAGAAGAAAGTGTTACAGGAGAATAAAGTTGGCATCTTCGTCACAATTAAATCCTCAATTATAAATGAGATCAGTTTTTTCCAATCTCAGCTGGGGAATTCTGGGAGTAGAAGTCCACACATCTTCAAGTTGCTGAAGTTGAGAAACAGTACTTTAAGTGGAGAACGTTTCAGTTTAGAAGAAGAAAGAGGACCAGTATTCTCAGCCAACAGGGGAATTTGAAAAATTATAATGCTAATACATCTGGACAATATCAGAGTGATAAGGCAAGGCTAGAGTTTCAGCCATAGCTTCACCTTGGGAGTTTGGTAAAAACAAGAGTGTAAGACTGCCTAGTGGACTTCCAAATATGGTGGCAGAGGTATCGTTTAAGATAAGGGACTGGAATACATCAATGCAGATGGCTTGTTAGAATATTTTCCCTGAATCCAGATATAAATGAAGCAGATGGGAATGATTGTGGGGTGTCTGTGAAAGGAACAGACTAATGAGTCAGTTGTTATCTTAGAAATAATTCAGCCCAGTTAGGGAGAAATCGGGGAAAAGACAGCAACTCAAAATATTCAGAGAGACTGTCTTAATTAATTCACTATAATTGAGGGAATCCTCTAAGTCTAAGGGTTTCCAAGATTCTGTATTTAACTCATATCTCTCTCTCTCTCTCTCTATCTATTCTATCTAATCTCTCTCTCTCTTTCCTTCCTTCCTTTCCTCTCTTTTTTATAAATAACTCAAGATGGTGAACACACCTAATACTCTTTGCTCCTCTTGTTTTCTCCATAACCATGTGAGGTGGATTAGGCTGATGTGACTGGCCCAAAAGCCCCTAGTTGACTTTCATGCCTAAAGTGGGATTGAACTCCTGGTCTCCTGATTTTAATCTGGTGCCTTAACCATTAGACCCAACTGGCTCTCTTATTAAAGAGTCCTTTAATTGGTGTGGTTCTTGCTTGCTTGCCCCCAGTTGAGTAGACATGACAGCACACAAGGAAAAAAGTTCTAGCTTTGGCCATTCTTCCTTGGCTGATTTTCTAGCCATAACAGGATCTTTACAAAGGAACACATTCAAAAGACAGTATTTTTGTAGTCCATTAGAATAGATTTCCTACAGGAATCACTTCAAAATTCTCTCCCTCTGCAATTGAAACAGAACAAACTTTCATTAACATTAAGATGGTGAGTACACATCATGGCCACAGATTGCAGTTGAGCTGACTGTAGGAGCAAAGCAGGGAGAGTACATGGATTAAGTGTAACAAAAGGAGGCAAAATTAAATGGGAAAGAGTGACAGCTGTTGTGGGTGGAAAGGAAGCTGAAAACAAACCGTAGGAGGAAAAATGGAGACAAATCCTGACTCTCATCCAACATGTTTTACTGTGTTTCTAGGTTCAAAGCCTGCGTGTCTTAGAGATGACACTTCCCAAGCTCCAGCATCATTCTTTGGAGAAGGAGGTCATTCCTATTTCTCCAGTCCGCTGTTCTTCGCCAGAAGTTTCTTGTACAAGGCTGGGACATATGTCCATAATGTACATCCCCAGCCTACACTGTGATCAATCCTCTAGACCGTCTGTTCGGAGCTCATAGCAACAGCAATGGGTGTTGGACAGGCATCAGGACAGTAAGGATCTAGAAGACGGAAAAAGTAGAGGGTCATTGGGTATTTATGTCTTTCCTGATGCTGCATCTGTTGAAACAGGTAATCTATCAAGAGCCCTAGGAACAAGGAGCAGACCCACAACGACACTTGCATTGCTGCAGGCCAGGAATGGCAATCTCTGGTTGCCTGGGAATACACTCTTTTTTTTTTTGAGGGGGGAGGAAGAATCAAGGGCCATAACAAGTGACGTGAGGATGAATCCATCTATTATGTGAAGCCTGGTTCATGGCTTACACAGTAGGCTTCATGTGTTACACTTCACAATGACAGGAGGGGATTCTAACAGCCACCAAAATATGTTTCTGGGTTGCTAGCAGCCTAGAGACTTTAGGTTACCCATCTCTGCCGAGGTTAGAGCACAGAATGTAGGATGCCTGTATGCCTATTTTGGGGGTTAGAACCAGGGAACTCCGTCTTCTGAGGATACGGAAGAATCTGACAAGGCTTTGGAAATCAATTCAAGGCACAGCACTACAGGCAGGAAGGTGTAAGCATGAGACCAGAGACTCCAGAATCATTTCCCAAAACAGAGAATAACAGCATTGTTGGGGAGAGGTGAAAGGAAAATGCCAAGATATTTAAATTTATAACTTGAAAGTGAGAGTTGGGTATTAAGTCAGAACCCAGAGTTATAGTTGATTGATTGGGGAGAGCTGGCTACTGCATAAGGCAATCTGAGCTGAGATTGGTTGCCTTGAGTCAAAAGGGGGCATTTCCTTATTTCCCGCCTTTTTTGCCTTGTATGTTCTCTGTGATTTACCTCATGAAATTCCTGCTGTGTTGATTTACCTGACTATGCTCCTGTTTTGCCTCCCTTATTTACTGAAATATATTTATTTATTTAAAAACCACAAGTTCTTGTTAGCGTCTCTGACTCCATTTGGACACAGGCTGTGCAAACAGCCTGCGCAATTCCCTAACAGAAAAGCTTCTTGAAGTGAAGGTCTACTAAGACGTCGTTTCTGAATAAACCTGCATCCTTGAGGAGATACAGGGGGAAAAAACTGATGGAGGATTATAGCTTCCAGGATGAAGCTTGCCAACTGGAAGTAATCCAGTCCTGGAAACAATGACAGATAAATTTATTGGACTCATATTGTTTTTTTGTTTTTTTGTTTTTTGGTGCCCTTTGGCAACTGAAACTTTTGCTGCTTACATCGCTGATTCTGCACATTTTAGTCTAAACCTCCAATTCCTAACGGTCTCATAAATAGGGAAGTCCAATGTGGTGATGTTAAAAAAATCAAGATGGTAGTAGGTGTGTGATGGAAAACCTGCCCATTTTACATGCATTGAGGGATTTGATATGTAAAAATGGGATGTGGCTTCAATTGCACAATTGTAACAAATATTCTGACCCACCCATCCATCTCTGGCAGATGCTCCCGTTGATAAAAGAAAGATTAGCTTATTTATATTATCCACCTGACTCTTCACCAGGGATAGGTGAGCTTGCAAGAAAGCTTGTGGCTCAATTAAAGCAATCAAACTAAGAAATTGTAGGTTTGAGAATGAAAACCTCTCCTATAATAAGAATTTACATGCAGCAGCCCTCACTACAGAAGAGGTGGGCACCTTTTCTGCCCCACGGACTACCTCTGGAAATAGGTTGGGGTCAAAATGATCTTATACAGGTAGTCCTTGACTTACAACCAATCATTTAGTGGCCATTTGAAGTTACAATGGTACTGAAAAAAGTGACTTATGACCATTTTTCACACTTAATGAATGTGCCGCATCCCCCGTGGTCATATAATCAAAATTTGGACCTTAGCAACTGGCATAAATTTATGACAGTTGTAGTGTCCCTGTGATCAAGTTTTGCAACTTTCTGACAAGCAAACCCCATGGGGAAGCCAGATTCATTTAACGGTGTTATTAACTTAACAACTGCAGTGATTCACTTAACAAGTATGCCAAGAAAGGTTGGGGCAAAATTCACTTAATAACTGTCTTGTTTAGCAACAGAAATTTTGGGCAACAGGTACAGGTAGTCCTCAACTTACAACCACAATTGAGCCCAACATTTCCGTTCCTAAACATGACAGTTAAGTTTTGCCCCATATTATGACCTTTCTTGACCTGTACAACAGGATCGTGAAGAGGGAAAGGGTCCTTCGAATACTCTTCCTCTAAACCTCTCCTTCTTTGCTAGTAATGATGGCTTGTTAATTCTTCATATTAAGGAGTATCAGCTGAGTAATGTGGAAAATAGGTGTTGCTCCTGCAACTCATCTCTGTAAAGGGCAAAAAAGGGGCAAATGCCAATGTCTGTGTGATATAATTATGCAACTGTTACAGTTCAAGACATCCAACACTAGTATCTAAATCATGGCATATTCATGATGATGTCATCATGTATATATTGTCATTTTGGCACCATGACGATTTGTTATGGAATCCGCTCAGCTTCTGCCAGACAAGCTGGCTACAAAACAACAGCTACAGATCCAAGTGACTCAATCAAGGGCAAAAGACTGAGTGCTAAGACGAAAAATAAAAAGGTTTTCTGAGAGTATAAATTCATATGAGATGAAGCTTGCATGCATACTCACCCATGAGAGCTTAGATGTGATCTTCTTAATTAACGCAAGCAGCAATTGAACCATCAATGAATGTCAGAGATTGGATGCATACATTAGGCAAATCTGTGGCTGGCTAAACTGTGATTCAGTGCATCTCAGAAAAAGAACCACTAAAGTTACAACATTTCTTCAGCCAGGTAATTAGAAAGAAAGTTCTATAATTTTCAAGCAAATTCAATCAACTTGATCATTTAGGCCAATATTTCTCTCTCTTGGCAATTGGAAGATATGCAAACTTCAACTCCCAGAATTGCCAGGCTGGTATAATGAGTAAAGAATCATGGGACTTGAAGTCCACACACCTTCAAGTTTCCAAGATTGAAAAATACCGCTATAACATTACTTGGTGACTCTTTTATACTCACCCCTCTACATATTAGCTCTTCCTTTGTCAGAGCTTTCTGAAGGTTCATTGCAATGATCTCAATCAAAACAGAAAAGGGGAAAAAAGCTCCCCTTTGGCATACTTTTTTGAAGCACTCTTACATCTACTTCACTGATGAATGACCAGCACCTAGCAGCTGAAATGAAGGAGAAATGAAGGGTGGAAAATCTCCCAGAACTAGGCTCTTTCAGTGTGACCAAATTACTATAGACAATCTTCAACTTATGACCCTTCGTAAACCATAAGGGTCGTAAAGCAGATCATCACTGTGACTGACCTGATTTTATGACCTTTCCTTGCAGGGGGGTCATTAACCTAACAGGGTGGTTATAAAGTGAATATGTTTTTTTAGCATACCCATTATTTGCTATGGACCGTTTTTTGCAGAAAAACCGAGGGAAATGTTGGTTTCTGGCCAAAACATTTAATCGTGCTCAAATGACCAGAGATGGTGCAAATGGCCATAAATATAGGGCATTTGCCGAGTGCCCAAAACGTGATCATGTGACTGGGGTGTGTGTGAGTGCAACCATCCAAACTTCAGAACTGGATTGTAGGTAATTTGCGGGTGGGGGCCTCTGTCATGACTTCAAATGGTCTCCAAATGTCCAGTTATATCTGTCTCTATTTCAGAGGCGATAGGGTTTTTACACTACTTTGTGGTAGGAGGGGAAGATTAAGAAGAAAAGTTGTAGATAGCCAAATTCCTCTTAGGACTGAAAATCTAGACATGCAGCAATTGCAGTTTTTTTAATGGGGGGATAGACTTCTCCAAGTCTCTTCTTAGTTCCTCACCTTTGTTTCTTTGTGGAACTGAGCCCGGCTTTCCTCAGGGACGATGCTGTAGGGTATGAAAATATCCAAATGATAGAGCTCAGGATGTCCCCGTAACACAATACGGTCTTCTCCAAGGTCCAGTTCAAGATTTCTCACTGAGATCTGCAGTAGTGGCGAAGGTGAAGAGAAAAAACACACTTAAAAAATGCAATCGGTCCCAGCATCTGGGCTAGAGTTGGAACAATAGGTGCTTCCTTGTAAACCCCATGCTATGGAATTACCATTTCAGGGAGAGAGATCTTTGCCACTAGACGATTGGGGTGACTGGTTGATGGCTCCGCCACTATGGTGAATTCAGGAGCTGCAGCAGGGCTGAGACAAGAGCAGAATAGACTTAAATTAGATAAGAAGAGCTGTGCCCAAGGCAGATCGGCAACTACTGGCAAATGCAGAATTTGAATGGCTTTTTGTGAAGCAAAACTGGATGGAAGATGAGGAAATGGACCAGGTTAGATAGCACATCTGCACTCCATACCACAACATTTTAGTGCTGTGTACTAAGTGCAATTGGGGGGAAAGAAAATCCATATGCTATTCATATGATCCAACAATTTAATCCAGTGTTTCTCTAAGTTGGCTTGAAGATGTGTGGACTTCCCATGGCTAGTTGGGGAATTCTGGGAGTTGAAGTCCACACAACCTCAAACTGCCAAGGTTGAGAAACATGATTAAATGACTCATGCCCATTTCTTTGACATGGTTGATAAGTGAATTACCTAAATCAAATCTGGCTTCTCCCATTGACTTTGCTTGTCAGCTTGCTGGGAAGGTTGCAAAATGGCAATCACAAGACCCTGGGAGGCTGCAACTATTATAAATACATGCCTATTACCAAGTGACTGAAAGTGTGAGAACTGGTCACACCTAATAATAGAATAACAGAATTGGAAGGGATCATAAGCGGGAGATCCTATACCATTCCAGACAAGTGGCTATCTAGTCTCTTCTTTAAAAACCCCAATGATGGAGCACTCACAACTTCTGAAGGCAAGCTGTTCCACAAGTTAATTGTTCTCACTTGTAGGAAATTTCTCCATAGTTCTAGGTTGATGTTCTCCTTGATTAGTTTCCATCTGTTGCTTCTTGTCTTGCCTTCTGTTGTTTGGAAAATAGACTGACCCACCAAATATTGGAACACTACTATGTCACCCCTAGTTCTTATTTTCACTAGACTAGACAAACCCATTCCTGTAATTGTTCTTCATATGTTTTAGCCTCCAGTCCCCTAATCATCATTGTTGCTCTTTTCTGCTTTTTCCCCAGAGTCTCAACATCTTTTTTATAATACGATTTGACCGGAAGTTCTCCAGCTGAACAGACGTGGGGGATATGAGCTCTGAAGAGCTTCACATGAACCGTGTCTGACAAACCAATTCCGAGATCCTTTTTGGATAAGAATCCACCTGGAGGGGGGACCAAGAAGGGGCAACGTCTTATCAGACCCAGAGGGAGGCAACAGGTCCCTCGCAGGTTGGAGATTTGCCCTCCGAATAGGGGCGGCAGCATGGCAACATAGCTGCACAAGAAGCTGGTTTCCAGCCAAAGCAACTGAACAGGAGCATGTGGACGAGATGAAAGACTGTTAAGAAGATTCATATAACCCAGTCATAAATCTAAACTTGGAAAAGGCAAAGAATTTTGAGAATAGAAATAATATTAATAGACAGATCTGGATTTTGGCAAAAGGAAAGAAAGAAAGAAAAAATTGAGGGTTGAAACACTACCCCCCTCACCCACAAAAAGTCATTTGTTTGAAACAATTTGGACAGAAAGGGAGAAAGCAGAGAAGTGATGAACCCACTCAAATACAAATTCTAAATTTGGTTTTGGATTTGAAATAGAAACTAAACATTCTGAGGTGATTTACTTTGTCCGAATTTCTTCTAACTAATATATCTTAGGCAACTCCAATTAATGAGAGGTGGCAATGCAACCAGGAAGAAAAATCAAGGAAAAATCACTATTTTCTCACTGATAACTGATAACCTAATTTGCCTGGGTGGGAGATTTAATTAACCAACTGCCATAAGTCAGAATGGGACATTGGTTCTTACCTGATACACTCCTTCTCTGGGCAGGTGAAGACAGCGGTCATGCATGGATTAACTCAGCCGGTAACCAATAGAACCGAGTCTACCAAAGTGATGTCATTGCCTCTGAGGAGTGCCCTCCCGCTTTCTTGACGAAGGAGATAAGTAGATTGCTGCGCGCTATTCAATTGCTCTCAATTCCTTGATGCTCCAGCATTTCTCCCAGATCTCCCTCTGTGAACTACGTCAGAGCCTGAAAGGGTGGGGATGACCGCTGTCTCCACCTGCCCAGAGAAGGGGCGTATCAGGTAAGAACCAACGCCCCATTCTCCAAAAATGGTGGAGACAGCAGTCATGCATGGGACGTACCAAAGCTAGGCCTGCCCCCAGGTGGGAATGAGACTGGGCTAGGAGCTTGAAGTGGGAAGAACTTGTTGAAGGACCCGCCGTCCGAATGCCACATTTACTGAAGCATATCTATCCACCTTATAATGATGGATAAAGGGAATAGTAGTAGTCCAGGTGGCCGCCCTGCAGATTTCCTCCACCGAGGCCTGCCTTGTCCATACCACCGATGTAGCCGCACTGTGTGTGGAATGCGCCATGATGTTGGATGGAGGAGTAAGGTGATGTGCCAGGTAAGCTCTTGAAATGGCAGACTGGATCCAGTGCCCAACCACTGATGGAGAAGCTTTTAGCCCCTTATATGTGGGATGGAAAGACACGAAGAGAGCTTCGTTGTGCCTGAAGACGACCATCTTGGCAATATAGATCTTAAGAGCACATCACACATCAAACTATGCCATTTGTGTTCAAGTCTATGAGAAGGATTAGGACAGAAATCTGGAAGAGTGAGGTCTAGAGATCGATGAAAGGCCAAATTTACCTTTGGAACAAAAATGGGATCAAGATGAAACACCACACGGTCCGGGTGAAATAAGCACAGGTCAGATCAGATGGAAAGGGCCACCAATTCTGAGACCTGCCATGTTGACGTGATGGCCACCAGAAAGGTTGTCTTCAGTGTAAGATGATGCAATGAGGCTGACCTGAGAGGTTCGAAGGGCGGTTCAGTGAGAAAGTCAAAGACCTTGGCTAGATACCATGAGGGGAACCGGTGTACGACAGGAGGGCAGAGATTAGACGTGCCCTTAATGAAGCGGCGGACATGAGAATGCAAGGAAAGAGGCTCATCCCGGTGAAGTGAGAGAACTGAAGAGAGAGCTGACACCTGTCACCGTAGGATGTTTGGTGAGAGCCCCTTATCAAATCCCTGTTGTAAGAACTCCAAAACCTGGGGGATCGAAACCTCCAGGGGGTTGGTATCTCGAGAGCAGCACCAAGTAATGAAAGTCTACAACATTGATTTGTAGATTCTGTTAGTGACTGGGAGATGAGAAGCCTGAATAGTCCGAATTACAGTCTCAGAAAAGTTAGCCGCCCTCAAGACCGCCCGCTCAGTCTCCATGCGGTCAGGGGGAGCAGGACAGGTCGGAGTGGTGAATGGACCCCTGATTAAGAAGGGACGTTATCATTGGATGACACCACACTGGGCCTACTGAGAGATTGACCAGGTCCGCATACCAGGGTCAGTGCGGCCAATGAGGGGCGATTAGGATGAGTTCAGCCTCTTCCTCTCTCATTTTCTGAATCAGCCTCTGTATCAGGGGGAAGGGAGGGAAGGCGTACAGGAGACGGTGAGGCCACCTGCACCTTAAGGCGTCCGTCCCTTCCGCGTCTGGTGTCGTGTAGCAAGACAGGTACCTGGGCAGCTGCTTGTTGGATGCCATTGTGAATAGATCTAGCACTGGAGTCCTGTACCTGGATGACAGCTGTCTGAAGATGCGATGGTTCAGGCTCCACACTGCAGGGTCGATTGTTGTGCGGCTCAACTAGTCTGCCCGGGTATTGTCGGTGCCTGAGATGTGTTCGGCGTGGAGAGAGAGAAGATTGGCTTCTGCCCAGATCCCTAGACAAAAGGCAGACTCCATGAGAGATACTGCCCTCGTCCACCCTTGGCGGTTGACGTGCGCCTTGGCCGTTGTGTTGTCTGTCCAACTCAGCACGTCTGTGTTGAGAAGTGAGGATTGGAAATGAAGGAGAGCCAAATGAATGGCCCTCAACACTGTGAAGCCGCGCCCAAGGAATGGCGGAGAAGCATGAGACCATCTTCCCCAGAAATTGAGACAGCTGGAGAAGAGTGACCAGCTGTCTCCTCTGCACCTCGTTGGCCAAGTCTCTGAGGCTGATCTGGCATTCCCGAGACAGGAAGGCCTTCCCCAGAGAAGAATCAATGAGGGCTCCCAAGTGGACCAGACGTGAGATGGGGACAAGGTGGCTCTTCTCCTGATGGCTGGAGAATCCCACCGCCTGAAGCACCTGTAAAGTGTCCTGGAGATTCCAAAGAACCTGGTTGTGTGACCTGGACAACAGGAGAATGTTGTCCAGGTAGCACATAATCCGAATGAGTCTGGCTCGCAAGTGGGCTGCTATGACTGATAGGAGTTTGGTGAAAACCCTTGGGGCTGATGACAGCCCGAAGTGGAGGGCCCGATACTGAAAGAGACGACCCGCATAGACAAAGCGTAGGAACTGTCTATGTTGCTTGTGAATGGGCACGTGGAAGTAAGCCTCCATAAGGTCCACTGATGTGAGCAGATCGTGTTTGCGCACATTCTCCAGGATTGACAGGAGAGAGTGCATTTTGAATCTCCTGTACCTGATGAATCAATTGAGAAATTTGGGATCGAGGATTGCTCTCCAGCCCCCCCGAAGACTTTGGCACAATAAAGAGACGAGAGTAAACCCTCGTCCCACCTGGCCTGGAAGCACAGGTTGAATGGCCCGAATGTGGAGCAGATGATGGATGGCCTGCTCTACTAGGAGCCTCTTGTGAGGGTCCCTGGAGATTGGGCATGTGACAAAGTGGTTCGGAGGGCTGGAGCGCAAGCCCAAGAGAAGACTGAATCTGATAGTGGACCTGACCCATGTGTCATTGGTGATATCGTCCCAATGATCGGCAAAGGCTGCCAGACGTCACCTGATTGGGAGATCCTCCAGGCAGTCACTTCTGCCTCTTATAGGGGCGGTTGGTATTGTCCCTGAATGATTTTCTGGGCTGGAATCTCTGGTTGTTTCTGCCTGATCTGTTGGAGAAGGAGGGGCCCTGTCTGGGAGGAGTCTGACGTTGCAGACGGGAGTTGGAGAAACCCCCGTCTTGTCCACGAAAGGGCTGCCTACGATAAAAGGACTGATTCCGACTCTCCTGCTTCTTGGTGGCTGGTTGCAGGACTCTCCGCTTATCCTTGGACTCTACTAGTAGAGATTCTAAGGGAGGACCAAAGAGAAGGGCGGAGGAATAGGGAGAGGAGGCCAATCTCCACTTGGCTCGGGCCTCCACGTGCCACTGCTTCAGCCAGAGGAGTCGGCGAGTGGTGATAGAGGATGCTATAGCTTTGGACGTGAAACGGGCCGCGTCTAAGGAGGCATCTGCGGTGTATTCTAGGGCTGCCTTCAATTTGTTAATGTCCCTGCGAGCCCTAGAATCCCGGGCCGGAAGTCTCCCTTGAAGTTGTCTTAGCCATAAGAGAGCAGAGTGACTAAAGAAAGAAGCAGATGTAGCTGCCCTGATGGCCCAAGCTGAGGTCTGATGTCCCTTGACCAGAGTTTGTTCTCTTCTCTTGTCTTCAGGCCGAAGACCCTCCTCAGGAGCTGCCGAGGCTGCGCCAGGAGAGGACAAGCTAACTACTGGTAAGTCAATAGAAGGTACCTCTAGAGCCTTGGTGAGTTCTGGTCCCACGTTATACAGGCACTTGTCCAAGGTATTGAGGAGGGGGCCTGTACCTGGTGACCCCCATTGCTTCTGGACCACGTCTATGAAGTCTGGGCGATGGAATCACCTCCTTTTCCACCTTAGGCTGAATGAAGAGGGGGTCGGTGGTGTCTGCCTTGTCCGCTTCCATTCCCTGAAGAGCCTTGGGTGAAGGGATGCTAGCAATCTTCTTGGCCTTAAAGAGACCGAAAGCCAGCAGGTTTAAAGAGACCGACAAAGGTAGGTGGGTCGGGGGGAAGGACCTTGTCTTCAGAAAGATCTGAATCTTGTGCAGGGCGTTCCTCCTCTCCGAAAACCAATGGTTGGCTGGACGTGCCAGGTAACTCATGCGATGAAGAAGCCGAGAGATCACCATTCCTGCGTCTGAAACCAGAAGAAGAGGACCTGCGTGGAGTAGAATGGTTAGCAGACCTGTGCTTAAGTCCTGCTGCTGTGCCTCGTACAATGGCCTCAGATATGATATCAGCCATGCCAGGTGATTAAGAACGGTGGCGGGATGGGAGAAATATATCCTCCTGGTACAAAGGCGGGTCCCCATCAGGAGTGATGCTCTTGCCACCCTCGGATTCATCCTCACTACAGGCCAAATCGCCCGTGCCCCTGGCTTCCTCAGGTTGGATAATGGATGCTGCAGGGGAGAGATCATCCTCCGAATCAGAAAATAGATCAGGAGGTTGAACAGGCCTCTGGGGCTGAAACAGATGGGATTCCATGTATTTGGTCTTGCCCCTGGCCTTTTTGGGAGGAACCTGAGTGGCATTGCCATCTTCCTGCGAAGGTGGATTGGCTGTGGTCCTGTGACTAGACCTGGGAACCTTGGAAGAGGGCTCAGTGGGGGGAGCCTCTGGGGCAGGTCTGCACTTATGGGTCCCGGATGAAGGCGATTCGGTGGTGAGAGCAGAGGCCAGGGTAGTTGGAGGAACTTGTGGCTCATGGGCAGGAGAGGAAGCCATGTCCTGTACACGTGACTTGTTGTCCTGAAGGAGAGTCAAAATGGCCATCGGATCTTCTTAGTGCCAAAACAAAATGACCACTGAGGCTACAGAGCCTATGGGCCGGGCGCCATGAGGTAGCTGAGGCCGCAGAAGGAACGAGGGCAGTGAGGGCTCTGAGGAGAGGCTGGGGAGGAGATGGCGGTGGCGGCGGCGGGAGTGCTTAGTAGCGGAGGCGGTGTGTGGCGGCAGCGTTTGGTGGTGAGGCAGAGCCAGCAGAGGCGGCAGCGCTAAGCGGAGCCTCCAACGGCCAGTGCTAGGCAGCGCTGAGTCCAGGAAAGCCTTTGCAATCCGCAGGCGAAGTCAAGAGGCTGAAGCCTACAAAGAAAACCCTAGCAGTCCCTCTCAGGAAGCCCTGGGGCTAATTGAGAGCCCTAGTTCTGAGAGGAGCTATTATCGACGATCCTGTCCTTCACTAGGAATTTAGAAGTAAAATTTTTAGAGAAGTCAATTAAAACAGATTGAGGTAGCCAATTCAGCAATTTTAAATAGTTGTTGAGGCCAGAGCAATTAGCACAGCCAGTTCCAATCAAACTGAGTCTAAAAAAGTGGGAGGATACTCCTCAGAGGCGATGACATCACTTTGGTAGACTCAGTTCTATTGGTTACTGGCTGAGTTAACCCATGCATGACGACTGTCTCCACCAACTTTGGAGAACTTGGAAAAGCAGGAGACGAAGAGAAACATACCCGAGTTTGGCTGCATGCAAGTTTGTTCCAATTAATATCTTTTGAGCAACCATAACCAACAAGAGGTGGAAGGTAGCAAGGGAAAAAATAATAATAAAATCAAGAACTGATTCAGTTCTTACCTGATTTAGTTGTCTCAGGTACTAACTTTCACAGTGTTGATAACTTAACCTCTGTGGTCCTCATTTCATATTTAAGAGATTCCTAAGGGGATGTGCATAAATGCTCTAAGGTGCCTTTCATCCCTGTCACATTTTAATTTTCATATTTACCTCGTTCTAATTTGTAATTCTTGTTTGACAAATTAATGAACAAATATATATGCTATCTAGAAACCTTGGAGATGACATCCAGAACAACAAGAGAGAATTTTTTGGGGAAAAGATATGTGTCAGAGATCTAACAGCAAAAGGTGGTGGTTTAGTTTAAGGAAGACCACCACCCACCCACCCCAATAAAAAACAAACACACCTGCTCTGTATTTCCTGGATGATGGGCTTGGATTTAGTGCGGATATTCTGTTCAGATATGGAGCCCATAAACTTCCTGTTCTTCAGAATCCGCCAATCTGAGAAGGAATACAAGCAACTGTGTCAGCCGGTTACTATAGAGGTAACAAAATGAAGGAAGAGCAAGGTAATGCTGCCAGAGTCCCCTTAAGACAGCTTCTATTCAGGGAACCACCCCACCCACCAAACAAATGCTCTCCTTGCTACAATTCTTATTTTCTGTACCTTGATTGCTGATGTCCATCTTGTACTTCTCTGACAATCCTTCCATGGCTATGGTAAGGAAGAATTCTTTGAGAAATTGGTTGCTCTTGACATTGGCAGAGATAGGAGAGAAAATTGAGAAAGTTTGAGCCCCCGTTTCCCATGACTGTGTTAAAAGAAAATGGTTTGAAGATTGCTTTCCCCAGTAAAATCCTGTGCCTTGGGCGTACACTCAGATATGACTACTGTCGGTGCAAACCACCAGCGTTTACATTAGGGAGGCATACATTCAGCTTCCTGTTGAGCTGAAAAAAGGAAACTGGATGAGCACAGGAAGGGAAGATCCCAAACCCACATTAAATAAGACTCACCTCCATTCTATTAAAAAAGTTGGTGTTGATGGTGACATCGTAGGCTGTGCAACCATTACCACCTGAAAGGACGAAAAAAACATTAAGATGATTCCTAATAATTCTTCCATAGGTCCACAATGCACACCAAATGTGCATTGTTTTTAGTTGCTAGTTGCTCTTGAAGGGATACAATTACATGGTATTGTCTCCATGTAAATCCATTCCATATGACAAATAATAGAAAAAAGCTTGTTTTTTCAACACCATTTCCTCTTCAGTCAGGATAATTAGAAACGTATATAATAATGCATTTGTATTCTGTTGTAAATTTTCTGCAAAATATAGGATAGATTCAGAATAATCCACACAACAACCAAAGAAGACAACAGTATTGTTATTCTCCATGACAGCAATGGCAAACCTTTTTTTGCTGGCGTACCATAAGCAAGGGGAGTGAGGGGGGGTCATACGTGGGCGTGCCGCACCCATAATGCAATGCACGACACACACACACATACCCAGCGTGCATCCGTGCATGACAGGCACGACCCCCCACATTTTTTTGCATGCTTTTTTCACCCTCCCCAAGCTCCAGAGGCTTTATAGGAGCCTGGGGAGGGCAAAAACAGCACTTTCTAAGTGATTTAGGGAGTCAGCATATTGCCTACAACAATCTGGGTTCCCATTTAGACCTCTAAAGGATGGAAGGCCGAGTTGACCTTGAGCTGGTAAGGATCAAACTACTGGCAGTGCACAGAATCAGCTGCAATACTGCATTGTAACCACTGCACCACTACAGCTCCTGCCTTATAACTATTCTAAGACACCTGGAGTCACTTATATGTAAATTGGGCATCTACTGTATATATATATTTGTTTAATAATAAGACATTTCCTAGATTATACCATTCATCTCAGCACTAATCAATTTTCTAATGAGTTGACAACTCACTCTTGTCCACTTCTGCATGGGGCTCCCCCAGACTCATGGGGATCCGGAAGGTGGAGGCATTCTCTGATTCAATGAGGCAACCCAGCTCTTCGTTGGTTAGGTCAGGTGGCGAAGGGATGTGTGGAGACCTGCAGACATTGACAAAAATCTTCTCACCAGAACTTGTGTGGGTTTTAAGGCAGAATCCTAGGCAGGGAAAAAAATGGTGCAAAATAAAGATGTCACACATGCAACAAAAACTAAAAAGTGATAAAACCTTTCTTGCAATTTGGCAGACCAATTTTTTCCCTATCTTATTGTAGGATTCAAATATAAAGCAATGGGATACAAGTGGAAATTGAACCCATCCACCACCAACTAGTTCTACTGAAATAAAGCAAGAAAAGCCTCTTTCTGTACAAGTTCAGAATGTCCAGGATCACTAAAACTCTGTGGACGCTATAAAATGTTATAGATTAGGCTCAGTTGAACAATCCCTAGCTTACCCTACCCTACTCTTCTCTATCCTATTCTTCTACTCTGCCTCTGTCCCACCCACAGCAGCATAGCAACTGGAATTGATATTTTTCTAACTTTCCAAGTTTCCCTGCAAAGCTTCTTCTCTTTTGTTGTATTTAAAACTATTTTCCCCTTTTAGATACTAATTTTTTTTCCTGGTGCAGGCTAGGAATATCATGTAAAGTTATTTTTGTAACCGTCTTTTTTAAAAATTCAGTGTAGAATATAAACATAGGTAGTCCTTGACTTATGATTGGATGTGTTTGAATTTACAAGGCACCTTCCCAGAACTATTTACAGTCCTTTTTCAAAATTACAATGGTTGCACCCTCTCTCCATGGTCACATGATCGCATTTTGGGCGCTTGGCTATCAGCTCATTTATGTCTCTTTGCAGCGTCCTGCAGCCATGTGACAGCAATTTGCTAGAGATTTTTTCCCCATTGGGAAAAATGGATTCACATAAAGCAGTGTTTTTCAACCTTTTTTGTGCAAAGGCACACTTTTTTCATGAAAAAAATCACGAGGCACACCACCATTAGAAAATGTTTAAAAAATTTAA